GGGGTTGGGGGAAAAGAGGGTGGGGGTAGTATCGTCCTTAACGACCTACTGATAGTGTTTTAAAGCAAATATTTTCAGTGGCAGCATTGGTACTGTCGAATTCACAAATTATGAAATACTGAAAAGTAGAAAATAAAACAACTAAATAGCTGCGTATGATATGCCGCGGGTCGGCTCGTAGTGATTATAATACTAAGTGAATACATTTTTCTGAACGAAATCTGCAATATTTGCTTAGCAGTTGCTGTCAGAAAAGCGTTAACGTAATACCCTAGACATACCTCCGTTCCTCCCCCCCCCCCCTTTCCGTCAACACTCCACACTCCGTACAACACTGCACTCCAGGTCTTTCATTGCCAACCGCCCCCTATGTCTGTTCTCCAACCCCCACCACCGCCCTCCACAATGATTCATCTGTAGCTATTCAGTGGACTGTGTTTGTTAATAGGTAGACTGCTATCTCTCTGAGTCCACCCAGCTCTGATGAACTCTACTTCATCTGTCGCTTGTGTCATTTGCACCAACGAGAAAAGATGAGACTTTGAAGATGAGACTGCTGTCTCTAATGGCAAGAGATGGTTGCACCCAATCACGGATACACACCTCCAGTATCGAAACTAGTGCACGAGAAAGTAATACACGTATATAACTAGTGTTAAGTGATTGAATGCTACAGGCACATGTACATGCTGGTATTAATAAGTTATTTAATATGAGAATATATATATAAAAAAAGAAAAATCTCCAACTATTTCCCAGAGAGTGTGAGGTGGCTTGCTGTCAAAGGAATACTTGGATAAAGCGCAGGTCGCTTTAAAGAAAATGGGAAAAATAAACAGGAAGACGGTACCTGGGTACGCTAAGGATGTATTACAGGTGAGTACAGCAAGATGACTTACACTTTTTTTATGTAAGGGGGGAGGGGGGGAGGATTTGTTTTAATTTGCGAAAATACGATTTATGATAAACATTTCCTCATGTAGTGCCTATCGTTTCATCGTTGTAGATTTTCTGGGGATCAGTGCTTCTTCCAGACTTTTTTTCCGGGGGGGGGGGGGCACTTGAAATTTTCGTTAAAATTTAAAAGTAAATATTTTCTATATAAGTTATATAAATTATATAAATATCATTTCTTTCGGGGGGGGGGGGGGGCGGGGGGGCGATAGATTTTTTTCGGGAAGGGGGGGTGCCCCCCCCCCCCCCGAAGAGATGCCTGGAAGATACTCTGCTGGGGATGTTTACAGTATAATGTATATATTGCCTAGTCAGCTGCATGAGAGCTAGGAATTTGGCCTAGGATGCGCTTATTACGTTTCGACGCATGCGCACACATGTGACAAACCTGAACATGTCCTCTATATAGATTATAGAGTAGTATAGAGTATAGTAAATTAGTATACTAAGTTATACAATATAGAGTTTTGAAAATGTATTATATTAGTGATTAAGGCCTAGGGCTACTTTTTTGGACGTTGGGAAATTGCGAGGCGGTAAACTGGGAGAAGAAAATGCGAGACATACCTGCGGAATCACAGGTAAATAGCGAGACACAATTTTCAAAACAAAGGTTTTGTTTTATGCTTATTTTTTAAAATTATTTTGTTGTTTCAAACTTAACTAGCATTTAATAGCCTATATCACGAGTATTGTGTTGTTCTTTTTAAATCTAGTTTTCATTTTATATGTATAGGCCATATAGCATATATAAAGGCTAATATACTTGACTGACCGTTTTCGCGCCTTTCTCGCAGTGTACCTCCTCGCCATTTTGCTTCTCTCAATTTTCCAACACCCTACCTTTTTAAGTTTTAAGTTTTTACTTTCTCGTATAGTCATATTGGGTCTAGGCCTCTCCGAAATATACTATACAATAGGTAGGTAGTAGCATGAGATGTTTATTTAAAATGAGCTTTTTGGGCACCCCTATAAGACTATTTAAATAGGGGCGATAAGTCATGCAAGAGGTTTGCTAATGTTGCTTTTTTTTGTCTATGCAATAGTTTTTATAAGTTAGTGTAGAACAATCACTGATTTTATATTTTTTTTATCACAGGGTAATTTGGATACCGTAACATTCACCAGAAGTGGGGGAGAACATCTGTGTGACGCCATCAAAGCTACTTAAAACCCCATCGAGTGGACCCATCATCGAGTGGACCCATCATCGAGTGGACCCATCATCGAGTGGACCCATCATCGAGTGGACCCATCATCGAGTGGAACCATCATCTAGTGGACCCATCATCGAGTGGACCCATCATCGAGTGGAACCATCATCTAGTGGACCCATCATCGAGTGGACCCATCATCGAGTGGACCCATCATCGAGTGGACCCATCATCGAGTGGACCCATCATCTACAGATCTCCGGCAAGAGGACTCGGCTTGAGGAATTTCAGGTCTGTTGTGGGTATAATGAAAATTTATTAGAGCCTACCTTTTTAAGTTTTATATTCTCGTATAGGTCTTTACAAAATATACTACATATAGTAGGTGGTAGCATGATGTATTTATTTTGCATATCCTGGAACACCTATAGTAAACTATAAATGAGATTTCATATGCATTTTAGTACTTTTCTCCTTGAAAGTTGTCTCCCCCCCTTCCCACCCTCCCTTCAGTAGCGGACCTGAATAAAAAAAGCAACATCGCAAAAAAAAAGAATGATTTTAGATACAGATGTCAGATAATATCATAATAGGCTGTTCCATAAAATAGATGTGTTGGGTTGTTCCATTTTTCTATCTGTCTGTATGCATTAATTTGACCCTAGTGACTATATTTTTAGTTATTAGCTCTTCTTCTTCTTCTTCTTCGTTCTTAATTATTAGTGTTGAATGGGATCGAGATTTATCTGCCAGTGGGTTTGAACTGTTCGAATTTATCAACCATGAGCTTTTTGCCGACTCGACCACGCCTCCAACACAATTAAGCGTTACGTGTCAACTGGTTTTGCGCCATTGAGGCCATTGACTCCGATTTCAGCCTGCTTTTCTTTTTGGATTTGCTTCCATAGCCTTTGTCCAACCAAGAACAAACTACAAGGCAGCAGTTGGTTAATTTTGGAGTTGTCTCTCCTAGAAGAGTGGCTGTCCCCAGCTAACGAGCCTCATCTGCCCGAGGGTTCGAACTCGAGACTTTTCGGTTTAGCAACCATGAGCTTTACCGACTCGACCACGCCGACCCCAGTTATTAGCTAATACAGTATGTAGGGGTAGTCCATCAGAATGTCAAAAACGGGAAAATGTCGGATGGCAAGCCTTGTACAACACTCGGTAATGAACGATATGATAATAATTATAAACAATAAACACTCCCTTTACTATTCGAATAATTTACTACTCCCTATTTCAAGGTACTTCCTATTAATTTATTAAATGTTACTTGGCCTATTGAATTATTATATAATTTTTGTAGAGTGAATCTTTTAAAAATTAGGACTAGATCTACATCTAGATTCTATCTAGATCTAGTAGATCTAGATCAAATCAAGAATCTAAATTAAATTGTGATTCAACAACCGGTTTGTTTTCATGGCATCCAACATTAATTTTAATGTCTACTAGAATACCCGTCATCCGTTGGATAACTGTGGGTTTCGGGGGTCATCCATCAAAAAACATCACGTCTGTCACTCAGAGGCATAGCGACCCTTCCCGGCGCCCGGGGACAAACTTTTTGATTTGAACCCCCCCCCCCCCCCCCCGCAGGATTTCGATTTGCAACCCCCCCCCCCTCAAACTTTTGATGTGCACCCCCCCCACTCAAACTTTCGATTTGAAACCCCCCTCAAATTTGACAAAACCTCTAGCCCATAATTTGTATGATTTAATCTTTTGAGCACAATGGAGTAAAATTTAAAATCATCTGAGACAATAGGCAAAATTTAAAATCATTTGAGACAATAAGCAAAATTTAAAATCATTTGAGACAATAACCAAAATTTAAAATCATTTGAGACAATAAGCAAAATTTAAAACTCACTATCAATATCGCTGATCTCTGCATTAAATGGGAAACTTCAGTTGATTTACAACACATGCTCCAGTAGTCAATGAACAAAAATTAGATGTAGTGTGTGTAATTTATGTACCCTACTATAAGCCTACTAATTATTAGTGTGTCTAATTAGTAATCCTGATACTAATTATTTAGTTACTATGCTGTACCTATACCCTGAAATAAGAATTCAAGGAATAAGAAATGGTAACATTAATTAGATCGTCTAGCATGCCCTATTTAATAAATTAAACTTGATGAATAATCACTAGGCAACTAGATTTTAGTCTAGGTCTACATGTGGCTACAGGCCTATTTTAGTCAGTAATTTGCTTGCACAAAATTAATTAAAACCGCCACTGTAGTAGTGGTATTACTATAAATAGATCTAGCCTAGAAATCTAAAACTAGTCTTGAAATCTAGTTAGATCTAGACTAGAAATCTAGATCTAGATATATAAACAGATAAGGCCAACAACCTGCCCATTTACGACACTGAACAATGTTTAGTAACATTCTCCTATTTGTTCTGAAAAATGGGAAATTAAAGTAATGTAAAAGTTAGAATAAAACACATTACCTTATAACAAAAAGAAAGTAAAAATAAATCAACTTTTTATACTTGTCAATTGCTAAGGAGAGTTTTAAAAATGTGAATAAGGGTGGGGGGTGGAGGGAGAGGGGGAAGGGAATTCTTAAATCTTGCTAACATGGCAAAGGATATTACAATTTTTTAATTATATTAACTTTTTTTCATCACAGGGTGATCTGATTACCAGAACTTTCACTGGAAGTTGGGGAGAACATCTGTGTGACACCATCAAAGCTACTAAATACATAACACCCGATGATTGAGTGAACCCATCATCTAGTGAACCCATCATCTAGTGGACCCATCATCTCCAGCTCTCCAGCAAGTGGAATTGAGGACTATCAGGTCTGTTGGATATGTGTATGTCTGGTTGTTGGTATAGAATTGGATGTCTAGTCTTTCACAGTGGCTACCTGGTGGACGGGGTTGTCTGGTCTGGCTTAGTGGTGGACGGGGTCGTCTGGTCTGGCTTAGTGGTGGACGGGGTCGTCTGGTCTGGCTTAGTGGTGGACGGGGTCGTCTGGTCTGGCTTAGTGGTGGACGGGGTCGTCTGGTCTGGCTTAGTGGTGGACGGGGTCGTCTGGTCTGGCTTAGTGGTGGACGGGGTCGTCTGGTCTGGCTTAGTGGTGGACGGGGTCGTCTGGTCTGGCTTAGATGTGGACGGGGTCGTCTGGTCTGGCTTAGTGGTGGACGGGGTCATCTCTTCTGGCTTAGTGGTGGACGGGGTCGTCTGGTCTGGCTTAGATGTGGACGGGGTCGTCTGGTCTGGCTTAGTGGTGGACGGGGTCGTCTGGTCTGGCTTAGTGGTGGACGGGGTCGTCTGGTCTGGCTTAGATGTGGACGGGGTCGTCTGGTCTGGCTTAGTGGTGGACGGGGTCGTCTGGTCTGGCTTAGTGGTGGACGGGGTCGTCTGGTCTGGCTTAGATGTGGACGGGGTCGTCTGGTCTGGCTTAGTGGTGGACGGGGTCATCTCTTCTGGCTTAGTGGTGGACGGGGTCGTCTGGTCTGGCTTAGTGGTGGACGGGGTCGTCTGGTCTGGCTTAGATGTGGACGGGGTCGTCTGGTCTGGCTTAGTGGTGGACGGGGTCGTCTGGTCTGGCTTAGATGTGGACGGGGTCGTCTGGTCTGGCTTAGATGTGGACGGGGTCGTCTGGTCTGGCTTAGATGTGGACGGGGTCGTCTGGTCTGGCTTAGTGGTGGACGGGGTCGTCTGGTCTGGCTTAGTGGTGGACGGGGTCATCTCTTCTGGCTTAGTGGTGGACGCAGGGCTGTGGATCGGTGTGGCCTAGACTCTCGCAGGGCTGTGGATCGGTGTGGCCTAGACTATCGCAGGGCTGTGGATCGGTGTGGCCTAGACTCTCGCAGGGCTGTGGATCGGGGTGGGCTAGAGTATCGCAGGGCTGTGGATCGGTGTGGCCTAGACTATCGCAGGGCTGTGGATCGGGGTGGGCTAGAGTATCGCAGGGCTGTGGATCGGTGTGGCCTAGACTATCGCAGGGCTGTGGATCGGTGTGGCCTAGACTATTGCAGGGCTGTGGATCGGTGTGGCCTAGACTTTTCGCTGTGGTGGACGAGGTCGTCTATTCTGGCACAGCGCTTCCAAAAACTGACTGTTCACAATCACAGACCCAATTTCGGAAGTATTTGTTTTGTTTTATCCACAGATTGTTCCTCCTTTGTTTGGTCAAAACCTCTACTGGAACAGTACAAGAAAGCGGCTGTTTCTACCCGTCTTCTTGACCAGTACAAGAAAGCAGCTGTTTCTATGTTGTGCCCCACCAATGCTGCAAACATTAGAATGGAGAAAACTTTATTCATATAGACAATATTCTTCCCCGTCACACCCCCACACAATCTCGGTCCACACGTCAACACACTTTTGAACGTCACCCGACATCCTGGACCACAACATCGCACATCCAACCCCACAAAAGCACTACACCCTACAATGTACATTTAAAACCCAGCCAAGGATTCATATCCTTTTAATTTACATTGCACAACATACATCTCAACCACCCTACTTATATGATCCACACCCAGATACTTATCCCACACCATTCCCAATACACCACAGCCTACTTACATGATCCACACCCAGTTACTAATCCCACACCATTCCTAATACACCACAGCCTACTTACATGATCCACACCCAGTTACTTATCCCACACCATTCCTAATACACCACAGCCTACTTACATGATCCACACCCAGTTACTTATCCCACACCATTCCTAATACACCCAGTTACTTATCCACACCATTCCCAATACACCCAGTTACTTATCCACACCATTCCCAATACACCCAGTTACTTATCCACACCATTCCTAATACATCACAGCCTACTACACTACACACAAAAAACCTCACAATACACGGCATAGACCAAACCCCAACCTACCCACCCTAAACCACACCACACCATTTTCTTCACAACTTCAAGAACGTTAGTATGAGTCAATATGGTCAGCAGGTACAGATGTACTTGAAGAACATTAACTTAAATACCACAGATAAATAAAGTATAAATAAAGTATAAATAAAGTATCAATAAAGTATAAAAACACTGTTGATACGACTAAAAGTAAATCTGCCTCCAATAAATAAATAAAACAAATTCTAAATAAAGAATAACTATAGATCTAGTTGTTTATTTTACAATCACAATCATAGCTTTTGTAACAGGGAAACTTTTGTGTGTATTGTTTTTGCAATCACCAGTAAAGTGGTGTGTGAGCAGCACTACAGTGATCTCTCCCACTCATTCTCAATGTTAAAAATATTCTTTGAAGAACACACAAAGCAGTGGCTAATTCAAAGATGTAGAAAGATAAATATTTTGTAGGCTAATGGTGAGACTGATCCACCTATGAATTAGTTTGGAATTTTTTTTTCATAGCAACTCAGCTTTCACAAATTTTCTATATGCTTTGATGTTTTAGGATTTATGTTGAAAATATATTTAATTCTGATTGTAGACATCTTTTAGTAATAAGCTACTATATTACATAGTAAAATAGTTATTGATCTGTTTAAATTAGACATAAATATTAAATATGAAGACCCATATCTATATTAAGAAAGTGATTATTTCCTGTACTGACTAAATAAAATGCCATTATGTCAAATTGTTTTTTTTTTGTAATGCTTAGAAAACAGTGTGTTGCGTATATTGTTTTTGGTTGTGTATATTTAGTTTGTTTTTTTGTTTGGTGTGATAAATTTTTGTGTTGTCGGCCTAGATTGTGTTGTTTTTTTTTCTTCCGAGTAACGTAGCAAAGACGTACAACAATATATATATATATATATATATATATATATATATATATATATATATATATATATATATATATATATATATTTATATATGGCCATGTCCCCAGAAAATTGTCTTACACACGATCATAATATAACTAAAACAAAAGCCAACCAATACCAGCTGTGTCCAATATTCTACCTTCTGATGAGGAAATGTTAAAAAACCTGTAAGAAACACAGATTTCACTTAAACTTTTTCTCTGTGTTGGCATTTGAAGTTCTTACTTGCTGGTTTTTAGCAGAGTTGAACTGATGTGTTAGTTCATCTATTTATAGTACTTAAAACATTACATCTTGATTTGTTAAAGGAAAATAAACACCTAAATTTGTCTAAATGGATTTTGAATGTAGTTGTTAAAATTGTTAGGATCCCCTTAACATAAAATAATTACATAACATAGTTTATAAAACTAATTTGTTGTTTTTAAGGCTGCAAATGTTTAAACTTTACAGAGAGTAAGTCAACAAGTTACAATGTAGAAAAACAGTTCTTTTGTTACTTAGAAGGGAGATTACCAAACATTTAGTTCTCTGCCTAGTTTTATTTCATTGCATTTTCCCTTAAATAAAAAGAAAAAAATGGATAAGAAAGAATTTAGTAGGATAGAAAGAGTATTTAATATTTTGCTACTGTGGTAGATTAAAAAAAATTATAATAATCATATCTATACAAAATAATTTCAGCAAAAATACAGCTCCTGGTAATGTATACTTGAATAGAAAATTTCTCCATTTTTCACAAAAATATCACATTATTAAGAAATAAATTGTAAGGTAAATTAATTTTGGTCTAAATCCCAAAAAAAATTCATTGGTTTTTATTCTCATAGGATACAATTCCTGATGCATGTTTAAAGTTTCTGACATAGATAATAAATAACTGAACCAGGGACCACAAGACAGATATTTACACCAATTTATGAACATATGCAAGCATATTTTAAACAATATTTTGTCTAAAAATGTAGAAACAATACACCTAAACTGCTTCATTCTATGCATTAAATACTAGAAATGTAAGAAAGGAAATCTCGCTATAAATATCACTCAAAGAATCAGCTGGATTAATTAAAAATTATAAACACACATCCAGTAGAGAGGCCATTACCAAATGAAACCAATAATAAATCCTATACACAGAGATTCAAGAAAACAAATACCTTACTTTATAAAACATCCCAAATAATTCTAGCTTTGTAGGCCTACACGCATTTTTATTACAATAGTTTAGATTGATTTTTTGTAAAATTGACTTACTTTTGACTTCCTTCAAACTTATAAACAAAATATCATATTTTTAAGAATGTTTGATAAAAAATTTTTTTACCTGAAAATTCTGTATTTACAAAACAGAAGACTGAATAGGACTACTACTTAAAATTCTTTGTTCAGTCAGGATATCCAGCTTGTAGGGTAGAAATTTGATTTTAAATGAGAAGTAACGAACACATATGAACAATTGTTGGAATGGTCTCTGCTTAAAAAATGATAGCATGAAAGACTGTTGCTAGTGTCAGGACCTTTATTTAGTTTACATCCAGCCATGAACAGATGAAATAAGATTTGTAATTAAAAAAAACAATTATGTACAATTTAATCTGTGAATTGAATGCTGTGTTAATGATTGTGATAGCAAAAAGTTTTTATAGACAGAATAGATGACCTTTCACAAAAAGACATTAAGAGGTGCTTTAGAAGACAGAAACAAGTTTATACATGTGAGAGTGACAAATGGCATGTTGTAAGACACTCATGTTGTAAGAAACTGTCATGACACAGGGAGAAACATCAGCACAAGTAGAAGCTGGTGTGGACATTGAAAGTTTGCTGACATTTTATACAAATAATCCAAGAAACATTATTACACGAGATAAATGGCCCGTTGAGGGAGAAATACAACGGTTGCTGTCAATAGAATTGTCTTTTTCTCTAAACGAAATCTGTTTAAAAAAAAACTATCTTAAATTATCCTTTTCAAATTGTTTTTTTTTTTTTTAAACAAACAAGGATTGTGTGGACGTACTTTTGTTCAACTCTACCATAGTTTGTCAACGTGGAAAATTATCTTCAATATAAGGTTACAATTAATTTACACTATTTTTATAAATTATATAAATTATTATTTGCAAAATGTGTACGTTCAAAAATATACAAATCATTTAAATCTTTTTTGGCACACATTCAATCGGCCTATAACTAGCTACTTTATTATAGACGTAGACTATAGCGTCCCTGTATGTTGTAATAATTAACTAGATTGGTGTTGGGTGATAAGGGTAGCAGTTTATTCGATTTCCAAAGTCCTTGGTCACGCAATTGAAGACACTTATTACTTGTTTCACTTTAATTCTAAATATAGATGACAGATAGATTCAGGTACGCAACTCTAGTAATACTTAGCATTCCGAATAAACGTAATTACCTCCCTTTTAAACTGCAAAACACTATTATTTACACTCCCAATTTTAACGCCTAAAAGTAAATTTCACGCTAGGCTTCATGCCAACTATATTTCTTATTATTTTTACTTCAGATAATAATTTTTTTTGCAAACTTAAGTATCCAGCGTGTATTAAAAAATATTTTAAAAAAAATTTCAACTGCATTAAGTAAAATAAAAAAACTGTAGGCTATAAATTAATTACTTTGCTCATTTATGCAAAACAGTTTCGATAATAGGAAAATACTAATAAAAAACTATAAAATAATAGGAAAATACAAATAAAAAACTATCCAACGTTTCAACAAAGGCAAATCTATGACCGCCTTTTTTCGTAGTTAGCTCATCTAAAGCAAGCATACAAACCCTTAACTTCAATAAGCTACCCTTTAGCACAATCAAGATTGAATGTATAACTATTGTATAAAAAGATATTAATGCAATAATGTCTTTGAAGTGTTTAAATACCTTAATTT